TATTGGGCAGTATTTCAGTATTATTGCTTCTTGTATAATTAATTTTACTTATTGGAGTCTTCTGCAAGGATTTATGGCTAAGAAGCAGAAAACAACTAAGTAACGACAGAAAATAAAGAGCATGAAAAACATTCATTGTCAGACTAAAAAGTAAAAGGAATTGTTAGTTTTACTTATCTACATTTAAAGAGTTTCTAGAAAAAGTTCTTTCGAAATAAAAAAATTATTTTATTTTTTAATTTTTGCTTTTCCTCCTAGGCTGCCAGAACCTAGGGAATCTCTGACCAGTCGACAGTAAACAACGAGGAAGGACCACACACGTCTTCAGGGGACACTGAACAGCTGGCAACGTAACAGGATGGACAGCCTGAGCTGTCCCCAAGAGCTGGCAAACTGAAACCACAGAAGAGCGAAGAAGCGTTTACCAGTTTAGTTTCAAAACGAGCATCACAGACCTGTATTTTTCTGACAGGGAAAAGCCTCGACGGTACAAGGGACGGGGACAAGCTTCATCCTGTCCCAAGACTTAACCCTCTGAGTGCGCAGCTGTGTGTTTCTGGCTGGCCAGAGGACACCCTGTCTCTTTACGGCTAACACAGTGGTCTCACGCTCATGCCACCCCCTCCCTCGCCAGCGACAGGCCGGCCTCAGGCAGCATTCCCAGGCCTGCACCAGTGCCCCTGGGGGCCACTCCCGTGTCCCCGAGGCCCCACTGAAGAGCAGAGGGCGCCTCGGCCCGGCTACGGCGAAATGTCTTCCTTAGTGAGCACTCCTGCAGCTGTCTTTACAGTGCACTTGAGGTCAAGTGCAAACGCTGCGTCAGGGGTCTGCAGTGCAGGTTCCGATACACGCTGCCAACCTGTGCTCCACACCGGCGGACGCACCTACACCTGCAGTTGTGAGCACCTGTCAGCCTTTCCTGTCTTTGCTTACGTAACGGCGGAGAAACGGCGCGTCACCGTAGGCAGCACCCTCACTTCTATTTACCCCCTGTAATTATTAAGAAATTCAGACTTGTGTACGTAAATAACATTTCCAACAGCCCAAAAACCTCGGTTTTGCCCTTGAACTTACAGTCCCAAACTGTTCTCACGTGCCGGGGCCGGTGGGGGCGGGGTGGCCCTTCCTGCCGGAGTCCCAGGCCCCAACACTTGCCTTAAGGGTTGACCGGGTTAGGGGAGCCCCGGAGGTCATTTCCTCTGGAGGGTAGGTCCTGAAGTCAGCAGACACAGTGCCATCTGAGGGGGGGGCAAGGGCAGACCTTTAAAAAATGTTCTGCCGTTATCACCGTTATGAATTATTCACACTGCAGTTCATTTTCCTACTGAACTATTTGTTTGTTTTTCCAATTTCACTGTAAAAGCTGTTTGCATGTTAAGGCACTTTTTTCTGCTTTCTCAACATTTTTATTTTTCCTATTAGCAGAATATAATGTCTATTGCCTTAAAATAGATGACTCGTTATCTGTTACAGTGGCCTCGCTTCCTGAGAATTTTCGCATCTGGCACTCACATCTGGAAGTGACTCTGCTGTTGGACAGAAGGCGAGGCTCTAAGGAGATGTTTCTCAAACGGCTTCCTCCTCCTGGGCCCCTGAGCGGCGGCCTGGGGCCTCCCTCGCTCCCACCCGAGTCCCTGGGGCCCGTGCTGGGTGACCACCGCACGCGGGGCGCAGCGTCTCCTCTGCTGACGCAGGGGCCTTTTTGTTTGTACCTGTGGTTTTTCTCTTAAACTGTTTTTTCCAGTTAACCTGACTAATTATGTACGTGATGGAAATTTATGCCAACAGATGAACTCTGAGAAAAGAGAATTATTATTCCAGTGAACACGACACTGAATCCCCTGGAAAGCTCAGATAAAAGGCCACCTGCTTGAAAACCTGCTGTGGAACTAGCTGGCCCAGCAAGAAACAGCCCTGAAAACCCCAAGCAAGATCGAGTCCACCCCGAGCCCAGCTCCAGCCTCAGTCCGCGGGTGGTGCGGGAGGGAGCGGGCCTGGGAGGCGCTCGCGCTCACTTTCCGGCTTCGAGCTGGAACGCAGCAGTCTGAGACCTGCTCTCTGGCCCGAGGAGCAGGGCCACACTGCAGGTGAGCGGCGGGTGAGCAGCGGGCAAGCGAAGCTTCATCTGTATCTGCAGCCGCTCCCAGCGCCAGCAACCCCGCCTCAGCTCCGCCTCGGATCCTCGGGCGTGATCAGATGCTCAGAGGAGCACTGGTCCCTGGTGCCACAGAGGCTGGGGACCGCTAGTAAATCACCCACGACTCAGGCCGAGATGTCGTCTACGGTGATGTCTCCCCCTACCGCGTCTTTCTTGTTTTCCTGTTCTTGCTCACTATTTTTTAGATAACCATAGAATCTAACCACAGATAAAACCGACACCTTTGCAAACCCGAACACAGGCGATTACATTTATTTTTGTTGGGTGTTCCTCGGAGCTGGAGCCCAAGTTCTACCTCATGGCTCCTCCTGGAAACTGGGACCAGTCCAGCCAACCATCCAGACCACCTCTGCCCTATGGCCCCTGGATCCCACAGGCGGTTGCCATGGCGACCCCAGGAGCATGTGCTAAGGGGGCTCTCCCAGGATCTGCCAGGTAGGGCCCCTCCCTTCTTCACAGCCAGGTTTATTAAGGGGTCCAAGCGTGCGGCTCCACGGTGACACCAGCCGTTCACCTCCCTCCCCTCCGAGTCCAGCTGCTCAACTCCCCGCCCATCCCAGCCTGAGCAGCGCTGCCGCTGCTGAGCATGGCCTTCACGGAGAAGCCCTGTGAGACCCCTGTCCCACTGCCCCTACGCCCGTGATCCCTTCTGCATCCACAGCAGAGGCTGGACGCAGGTGGGTGCCTACGAGTACCACCTGGCCTGCCTTATGTTTTGCTGGACTGCCTTCTATTTGTACAAAATACGAACTTATTGCTGATACTTGTAGACTGAGATGGCTCACCTCAGCATCTGGAACCTCCTGTGCCTCTGGCGTGGCCAACCCACGCCTAACCCACCGCGCCCGTCTGCAGACGCCTCGCCTCCGCCAGGCCGGAGCTCAGGCTGAGGCTGGCCCACGACGCGGCGCCTGTGTCCGGAACCCAAAGTGTCACAGCGGGCTTGCTCTCCACCCGCCCTGTCACCCCCCAACTGCGTGCGGGAGACGACAGCCATCCAAACAACCACTTTACGGAGAGCAGAGGCGGTTACTAGCTGGTGCCCCTGGCTGGAGCTCCTCTTTTGGGGATCATGGGGCAGGCAGGGAGCTGGGAGGTCACAGCCGTGAGCAGGCATGCAGGATCTGCATAAAGCCAGCGCAGGAGTCTCCCATGGCTCATCTCAGCCTCTGGGCCCCCCGTGGGCCACCGGAGGGACTGCAGTGAGCCCCCTGGGGCCCACCCACCCTTTGATCTTCACATGGCCATCACTGGGCCCGGGCCATTGTCACCCATCAGACTGTGGGGTCTCACAGTAACGCCGGGTGTCACGCAGGAGCCATCTTCAGCCTGGCCCACTGTCGGCCCTGTCCTCTCTCCCGCCCGGCCCTGGGTCTGTAGACACACGGCACCATCACCGAGCTCAGCGTTCAGCTGCACACACACTAGTGCGAGCAGGACAGTCAGGAAAGGCCGCCCGCTCCCAGATTCTGTCCCTTTCCATGGGACAAAGTACCAGCCTGAGGAATCGGGTGGAAGTGCGCGGGCACTGCATTTGACCCGTGAGCTTCAGACAGGATTGAGAAAAGATGCGAGGAGGCCGGAGAGACGTCCTGCTCAGTGACCGTGTACCTGACGGACAGAAGGTGGAGAATCTCTGGATCCCTCCGTGCGGGCCGTTTACAAGGACCCGCCGTGAGCAGGGGCCTCACGAGTGACTTACAGAAGCCTTGGGGACACCGCTGCCTCTGACACTCACGTCAGGCTCCGGCGTGGAACGTAACCGAGGTGCATGTGCGTGATGTGAGCCCCGCACCGTGGCTCGAACATTCCAAGAAATGCGGTTTGACTTGATTTAATCATCTGAGAAAATTGCCTAAGTTCTTTAAGAGGCTTTTTTTTTTTCTTTTAAAAGAACACATGCATTCAGTTCACTCAGATAACTTATTTTTAGAGTCTGAAAATGTTAATTTAGCACATCAAAATGACACGCTAGTGAAGCCGGCGCTGGAAGGGAAGTGCCAAAGGACAAAAGGACACGGCCACCATCCGAACACAAGCTCGGGCCCGAGCAACAAGCAGCTTGCATTTTAAGGGAGAATTAATCTCAGGCTGGCTTTCCAACCCCTGCCTGAGAGTGACAAGCGTTACAGATGGACTCACTGGACCCACGTCCACATGAAGCAGACTCTGCAAATGGTTCTTCTCTCACCTAATACTTAATCTCTGAAGGAAGCAACTTTAAATAACCTGAGAGTAAGACCGAAGTCAAATACTCTCAGATGATTTCCTGAATAGAACTTCAAGATATCTCTTTCTAATAATCTTTAAGCAATCAGACGGAAGGCTAGCGGTCAGGGAGAGGAGGTGGGAACCGCAACTGGGTCTGAGGTACGCACTGCACACTGTCTCAGGCTGTGTGTCTTCAAGACAACGACAGTGGCAGACAACACTGCACATCGACCAACGTCCATTCCTCCCATTCTTAACAGAACTTGGGCGCTGGGCAGCAATGTGTCCACGAAACCCGTTTTTCAGCCTCTGCTACAGGACGGGGCGACCACGTGACACCATCCCGGTCTGTAAGAGTTAGGGGAGTCACCAGGCATGGCTTCTGGGGAGGTCTCTGAAGAGGGGCCGAGCCACCAGGACCTGCTCTCTGCCCCTGCCCTTCCTCGAATGCAGAGCTGATGCCGCAGACATCTGAGCACAGGATGGGGCCGCATACTAAGGATGGCTAAGCACAAAGACCCGAGGGACTGAGCTCCACAGGGCATCTCTGCCAGACCCACCTCCCACCTGTGGGGCTCCCCTGCTGGCTGAGCCCTGCAGGTGCAGGCCGGGCGCATGGAGAGGTACTCACAGTCAGCGGCGTACTCCACCTGGGAGGGCTGCCCAGCAGCGCCATCGGCCACAGGTGGGGTGGGGGCGGGGCTGTCGGCCTGGGCCTTCCGGACCAGCATGGCGAGGGGGTGATCCGGGTCCACCACCTTCAGAGGCTGCAGACAGAGAAGGCACAGTCACACCACTTCCTGTCTTCTGTCACATGGAACTTGTCCGTGGCAACTCTAGAACAGCACGTGCACTTCGGCGAGTCCGCAGCACACCCACGCAAGCAGGTCCTGGCACACTGGCCGAGCACGCTGGCGGGCCATGAGTGCCAGAGAACTGAGCAGCTGGTGGCCTCCCTCTGCCTCACGAGCGGAGTGCCCCCGAGCCGGGACTGCGGCCGCGGAGTGCGAGCGTCCTGCTCACTCTCAGCCTGAAGCCTCGCCCTTCCTTAGAGCAACCCCTGACTTTTAATCGCCACTAGCTTTTCAAGTCACATTGATCAGCTGTCACCCCCCCCCAACTCGCCCCCAATCAGCCACACCACACGGCACTGAGATGCATGCTGAGTCTGGGGGCTCCCGCTTCCACACCCCAAATGCTGCCCGAGTGTGTCACCTGACCACATGACGCCGAGCGACTCCTTTACAGCAAGGAGAGGGAAATCGAGAGAATTATTCATGTTTTTAGGTAGCATACTGTGTTACCGTGACAGTAACACGCCCCTTCTGATAGCACATACTCTGGATGCCTATAAAATCCAATCCTATCGTGACAAAATCTGCACAAAACAATTCCCGCGTCTTAACCGACATTCTGCTTATGCGAAAGAGGTAAATTTACCCAAAAGGTAAATTATAATAAAACGAAAATAATCTGCTCAATTTTACAAAACGGGATATGTAAGAAATAAAGGAACTAAATCCTCCGCCACCAAACAGAAAAGTGCACAGTAGACCTCAACGACGGATCAAGGAGATGCAGCTGTCACACGAAGCAAACGCGCACTTAATTGCGTTGGGCAACTACACTAGCAGAAGTTTGGTCATGGCCAGAAACAGTGCGACAGAGAGAGAAAACCTTCATCAGCTCCTCCAGGCGGCTGCACTTCTTGGAGGCGAAGAGGGACGGGTGCAGGTAACTCCCATCGCCCTCGTCATCGTCGTCCTCGTTGTCAGAGCTGACTCCCGACTCTGAAAGCAAAAGCACACCTCAAGATCCTGGTGACAGGAAAGGTACGCATGAGCTATGCAAACACCGAGAAGCGGACAGAGGCACAGCTGTATGGAGTCATTTCTTGGTCATCCGCCGCCCCCAAACATCTTCGGACATATCCAG